TATCCATTCTAAAGGAAATCAACCCTGAGTGCTCACTGGAAGGACAGATCCTGAAGCTGAGGCTCCAATACTTTGGCCATCTCAAGAGAAGAGAAGACTCCCTGGAAAAGACCCTGATGTTGGGAAAGTGTGAAGGCAAGAGGAGAAGGGGACGACCGAGGATGAGATGGTTGGACAGTGTTACTGAAGTGACTAACATGAATTTGACCCAACTCCGGGAGGCAGTGGAAGACAGGCGTGCTCTGGTCCATGAGGTCACAAAGAGTCGGACACCACTTAACGATTAAACAACAAAATTTAAATTTAAATGGTCATTTTTATGGATGATTGAAATACATTCAAATTTTCAACAAGAAAGAGCTGATACAGCAGTTCTGCCCTCTGTCATTTTCAACAGTGATATTTTACTCTCCAAAATCTGGCCATTAAAAAAAATTCCTAGCTGTCATTGTTGATGAGAAGACACGAAAATTTGCTCCAAAGCACAACTGTGTGTATACATTTACAAAGGTCTTACAGGCACCACTTTGCTACATTTTTCATGGAAAATCTGCAAGGAAGTTAACATGATTATATCTTTCACTCTTCATTTAAGGATTTGATTTTGACACCACAAGGGGATTGTGATTAGGATAAATATTGCAAGAACGAGCAGCATAAGGCTTTGTGGCAGCATTAATATGTATTCTGGAGATGCATCTTCCACTGAATCCAGGAAAGAACAATGATGACAAAGCCCACCATACTCAGAAAAGCTGCTTTGCGACTCCACCACAGAATATTATGATCATTAGAGAACATTAATCCTTGGCACTAGAGCTTTCACAGTTAAGAAGCCAGACTGAACTATCCCATCAGCAGACTCTGCTTGTATCACATGCCTTCAGCATTTCTGAAAGCTTTGCCAAGAAAAGTAGAGACAAGAGGAGGCATATCCAGGGCACAGACAGGGTCATGAGAAATACATTTACTACTCTCCTGCTTGTCAAGACATTTTCAAAGGCACAGGAGTCCTACAACCCTATCTACTATATTTTTCTCAGAACCTGCTCTGATTCTGAAGTTCAATAAAATCTCCCCCTTTATTTGTTGTTTCTTCTTAATTAAAGGAGATAAATAAGCCTCCAGTTCAACTTCCACTTAGATGGTTTTAAGATGCTTTGACATGCTCATGAGGTAGGTCTGCCAATTTTATTTTGTTACTCGGGCTCAGGACCAATGGCCCCCTCCATTTTCTGCCCATCTGGGCTCTATTCAGAGTACATGGGCAGGCTGAGATGGGGTGGTTGGGAGTGCACGGAAAGGACAATGAAGCCTACTTGACTCTGTTGCAACTGGCAGCAAAGAAAGGAGGCGGGTGCAAACGTTGCTGGGAGAGTGGGCCAAAAGGACTAATTGTCTCATATATCACATTCTCTTAGGCCCTTCCCAACGCTTTCTCATCCAACTCTTATTAGTTTGTTTGCTTCAAAACTGGAACTTCATCCTACATATGAGGCTTGTGCTGTTTCCGAGGCTATAGCTTCCCAAGCATTTCTCTTGGCCCCTGTGGTCTGTGTCTGTTCAATAATGGATGGTGTGATCTTCCCTTGCCTATTGCTTGGGTAGTAGTTTTGTTGTTTAGTCGTGTCTGACTCTTCGTGACCCCATGGACCAGAGCACGCCAGGCCCTTCTGTTTTCCACTGCCTCCCAGAGTTGGGTCAAATTCATGTTGGTGGCTTTTTTTTTTTAAATTACATTTTATTATTTTTATAACATACATACCTACAACAAACAACAACAGAAATACCTACAAAGCAATAACATGTAAAACTAAAAAGACATACACAAGTGACAAAACTAACATATAAGCGGGGAGGTGTTTCTCATACCAGCTTATCTATTATGTAAATTCTGACTACAGAGATAATATATCCATGTGCATCTGCACATGTTATATTCCACATTGCTATTACATATATATAATTATCTAACATCTTAAATTTATAATAATTTTTTGAATTCTCTCATCTGCATTTCCATCCATCTGTCTCTTATCATTTACATTTCTCATGCATCACATTCTCATGTTCTCTTTAAATTTTCTTATCCAGCATAAAATCCACCCAGGCCTATTCATTCCTTGATAATCTCCATTCTT